GCAATAAGAACGAATTATTTATCAAAAAGTAATCAAGAACTATCACCTAGAGGGTATCCTGCGACACACTTATGCTCAAGCTGTAAGAGAAAATTCCAGTTAGTAGAGAAATTAATTTGAAAAATTACCTTGACGTTTCGATAGCTATTTTCTGCTATCGTTATCAAAAGAACCTAAATAAACCTAAAAAAGAGCATGTTAATAAATAGTGTAACAATAGTAGGATAATACAATATATGAAAATTCGCTCTGATAATTCGTCTGGGCAAATTGTCAGTTATGTAACTTTGACTTAATCTCATTGTTTAAATTAATAAAGGTAATGTTAATTAATAATTTTGGTGTAAATTTAATTTGGGTGTATGTTTCTCTGGTCTACTTCAGATTTTAGCATAGGTAACTATGTATGACTTAAATTAAATGAACACGAAGCAATACAATTATTTTGATTTAGTAAAACTAGTGCGCTTTCTTTAATTTTACGTTTTTTTGTGGATTGTTCTTTAGTTAAAATTGTGGAATTATTCCATTCAATTTTGGCAATTATCAAATGCATGTTGAGAAATGTGTAATTTATGATATTCTCTGTTTTTTATGTATGATTGGTGTTCTTTGAGTCTTTTGTGTAATGGTCTTGAGGTCTCTCCTATATAAAATTTATTGTATTCGCAAGAAATTTTATAAATTACATTTTTTGTATTTTCAATTATATCATGAGGTTTTGTTATCAAAATTTTACTTCTAATTGAATTTTCAGTTTTGAATATAGTCCTAATATTAAATTTTTTACCTACTCGTTTAATTTGATCTGAAAGTCCTGGAATAAATGGAATGAAAAGGTTCGTAATAGATTTATTTTGATTTTGTTTTGTTCGTGGCAATTCAGTTTCGTTAAAATATTTTTCAATAAAAGAATTTGGATAATTATTGAAATTTAGAATTTCTTTTATAAATCGTTTTTCTTTGGAAAAATTAGATTGATTACAAATTATTTTTGCTCTATCATATAGACTTTTTAGGATACCTTTTTTAACCATTATCGGGTGATTTGAGTCGAAATTCTAATATCGGTTAGTATGAGTAGGTTTTCTATAGACCAATGTTTCGAAATTGTCTAAATTTTTCTGAATTAGGATATCGAGAAAAGGAATTTGGTGATTTTGTTCTTTTTCAATAGTGAATTTAATTGTTGGTTCTTTATTATTCAGATAAGATAAAAATTCATCAAG